AGGAAGATAAAGCAGTTCTAGGTCACACAGCCAAGGTGCAGACTTTACATTGTATTCTCAGTGCATGGGGATATAGCAGAGGGTTTTAGGAAAGGAAGAAAAGCCTTGTGAACACAGAGGAGGCAGAGATTGGAGTGATGGGTCTACATGCTAAGGAAGGCCAAGGATTGCCAGCAACCACCAGAAGTCGGGAGAGGCAAGGAAGGATCCTCCAGTAGAGGCTTCAGAAGGAGCACAGTCTTGATGACCCCTTGATTTCAGATGTCTGCTTTCTGGAAGTGAGAGAGAGAATAACGTCGTGTTGTTTGTAAGCCATCTGTTCCGTGGCAGCTGGAGAAAAACTCAATGCAATACACTGAGTGCATGTTTATCAAAGCTCATCCGGCTGCCTGGGTGGAGAATGGATTGCAGACAATGAATCGAAAGACCACCTGGAAACCCACTGGGGAGATGAGCTGGAGGTGATACTGGCCTGGAGGAGGCGATCATTCTTGGACATGAGAGAAGTACATCCATGTCAGGTGTCCTTAGAAGATCAAGTGTATAGGACTCACTGTTGGAATACGAGGGACAGGGCAGATCAAAGAAAGAGGCTGCAGGGACTCAACGAAACCAGCTTTAGGCGTTGAGTCACTGAGCGAAGACCAGTGCCAATCAGTGCAAATCAGTGATATCGTTGGCCTGTGAGACATGTGGTCTTGGGGATCTCTAAGATCTCTAGTATGGATCTGTTCATGGGGACGTGCCCAATGAACATCCATACCCTGCATCATGCGGGGAGCTGGATAGAACAGTCTGGGGTTCACAGTAAGTAAGGGTTACCAGCCCTCAAATGCCGCCTGAGGGCACGGGCTTAGATGACACCATATTTGGTGAATGTGTAGGTAAAGAAATGAAGGGATTCAGGACACAGCCCCAGAGGTTTCCAACTTTGAGAGGCAGGTCAAAGGAGGATTATAAGCCAGCACTGAAGGGTGAGAAGAAGCTTCCATGAGTTGGCTTGCACCATCTCTACGAGACTGATCCAAGGGCTCTAAACATTGATGTGGACATCAAAGGAGGCTGGCTGAGGCCAACTGATCCTTTCTTAAGAGAGCCACAACTTTTGGGACTATTTCTTGATCTCCAATTAAGCTGCCCTAGCCCAGGTGAGGGTGTAGAATGAAGAGAGCCTTTTGAAGATCCCTCCATCTGTTTGACGTAAACAGACCCAACACCTGCCCAAGATGCAGTTACACAAACTGAGAGCCACGGTCTGTGCTACCTACACACAGTTCAGGACTGCAAGGAGATTGTACATCCTGTTACTTTAAACCAGTGATTCCTATTCCCCAGTCCCAAAGTAGCAGTGTGGACATTTTTCAATATTCTACCAATCCCGATGGCATTTTTACATTTAACAATTGTTAAGTGGTCATAGGCTGGTGTAAACGTTATGGCATTTTGATGTTCACTTACGTATCTTGCTCTTTAAGTAAGCTCTATGCACAACGTCAGGCTCAAATTCACAACCCCAACATCAAGAGTCACATGCTCTGGGGTTCCTGGGTGGGTCGGTCGGTTGAGTGTCCAACGCTTGATTTCAGCGCAGGTCATGATCTCAGCGTTCGTGAGATTGAGCCCTGCAGCCGGCTCTGCGCTGACAACTCAGAACCTGCTTGGGATTCTGTGTCTCCTTCTCTCTCTGCCCCTCCCTTGCTTACTCTCTCAAAAATAAATAAATAAATAAATAAACTTAAAAAAGAAAAAGGTTGCATGCTCTACTGACTAAGCCAGCCAGGCGCCCCTACTTAATCTTGCCCTTTTTTTTTCAGTATATGTATTTTTAAAAAAATTTTTTTAACACTTTTTAATTTTATTTTTGAGACAGAGAGAGACAGAGCATGAACGGGGGAGGGGCAGAGAGAGGGAGACACAGAATCAGAAGCAGGCTCCAGGCTCTGGGCCATCAGCCCAGAGCCTGATGCGGGGCTCGAACTCACGGACCGCAAGATCGTGACCTGAGCCGAAGTCGGACGCTCAATCGACTGAGCCACCCAGGCGCCCCCAGTATATATTTTTTTTAACATGTTCCTTTTTATTTATTTTGAGAGAGAGATAGGGAAGAAGTGGGTGAGGCACAGGGAAAGAGAGGGAGAGAGAGAATCCCAAGCAGGCTCTGTGCTGCCAGCACAGAACCCGATGCCGGGCTCGATCTCATGAAACCGTGAGACCGTGACCTGAGCCGAAACCGGAGTCAGACTGACATAGATGACCCATCTGTCAATCTAAACAGGAGAATCATGCTGCAAACATCATCTTTAAAAGAATGAGAGAAGGGGCGCCTGGGTGGCACAGTCGGTTAAGCGTCTGACTTCAGCCAGGTCACGATCTCGCGGTCCGGGAGTTCGAGCCCCACGTCAGGCTCTGGGCTGATGGCTCAGAGCCTGGAGCCTGTTTCCGATTCTGTATCTCCCTCTCTCTCTGTCCCTCCCCCGTTCATGCTCTGTCTCTCTCTGTCCCAAAAATAAATAAACGTTGAAAAAAAAATTAAAAAAAAAAAAAAGAATGAGAGAAGATTAATGGTGTCACTATTCCCTCACCCCCATAATGTTACATTTTTTTCATGCTGACCACAGCACAGATCTTATGTCCCTAGGATTACGAGGAATAGCCTGTTGAGTTCTGGAGAAGGATGGTTTAACTGTAGCCATTCTATTAAATTAACCCACAGATTTCATTAGGGAAGCAGATTAGAGTGGTAACACGGCAGAATCACTGGGCTCATCTACTAACGATCTTTCCGAGGGGTTGTGATTGAGAGTAAAAATCATTAGTGTTCAGAAAACGACGCTCTCTTGATCAGGGAGTTTAAGGCAGCGTGATTCCTCTGCGAGCGAGTCTGTTGGAATTTGCAGCTTTAGGAAACCAGATGTTTTGACATTTAGAAGTCTTTGGTCATTTCCCACAGCTCGAAGGAAACCACATCTTTCTTTTAGGGCATCGCCTTTTATCAATGTTTCACTGGGAGCCCGATTTCAGCTAAATCTGACAAAGGGATAATGCTCTGCAACAGAGTAGTGGCTGGGATATTGATAGAGCATAATACACTGGTGATATTTCCAGCATTCAAGCAAAACAGCACAACATGGATAACGCATCTGCTAGGTTTGCTCTTCGAAACGAAAATCAGGAGGTAGCTAGCGACATGCTGTGAGGACTGTATGATGACCTCGCTCTGTGACCATCATTCAGGACCCTTGACGCTCTCATCCTGACCCACACCACTTGAATCTTCAAAGAGCCAACTATCAAAGCTACAAGCCAATACCACCACCCCCTCTGGCTAATAACCCATCCTGGGATCCATCATCTGGTCTATGCTCCCTGAACGGAGTCTCCACTCTCCGTAGCTTTCTTAAATCACATATTCCTTTGCAGCCACTTCTATGACTGCATTACTGTAAGAGTGTACCTATTACTTCTATCAGTCCATGTCTCATCCCCAGCTGCTAACCCACTTTGGGACCTCACAGGCCTTCCGCGGGAGAACGAATGGACGGCTTAACGTGTGCATGGAACACAGTCTGTAAGTCCATCTTTAGAGACGCTGGCATCCGTAAAATAAACTAAAAACCGCTCTCTCCACACAGGCCACAACGTCGTGGAAACACGGCAGACATACCTCATCTTAATATATTGGAACACAGGTTTTGACTGCCGCCTACGCTGAAATAAGACGATAAACAGAGGAAACTGGCCGAAAAGAGTGGCTGCCTGGGGAGGGTTCGTCCTCTGCCCATGAAACACTTGGGTTCGCTCACCTGACCCGCATCAGATGTCACGCGTATGCTCTGCCCTGGCGTGGTGACAAAGGCAAGCCAAGGAAGGGGAATGAACACCCCGTGCAGGTTATCCAGACCAGCACGGAACAGGAATGCTTTCCACCCTGCATTCCAGGGAACCAAATGTGTAAGAAAGGTCCCTGCCCCGAGGTGCTCAGAATTTCAGACGCCTGTAGGCCGTGCACAAAAAGATGTAAAACCAAGCACAAGGTACGCTGCCTTTGGGACAGACAGCATGTTACCCTCTGTCCAGCGCCCTGCCTCAGTGCAGGTGCACTGTGATGGGTATGACGCCACTCGTACGTGTCGCCGGACAAGCCGTGTGCTGCTGCTTAGGCCCAGCACTAACGTGGGTGACCGCTAAAGTGGGTGAGCCATAAGCACAATGAGAGAGCGGGCATAGCGGGTGGCTAACACCTTCCCAGCCATGCCTCCCCTGGCAACCATTGCTGACTTCAAAGATGCAAGAACAGGTCATTAGACAAAGAACACAGGTGGCCTCCAGAGGCTTGAAAAGACAAGGAAAGGAATGCTTCCCCAGAGCATGCACGAGGACACAGCCCGGCTGTCACCTTGGTTTTAGAGTAGTGAGACCCACTTCAGGCTCCTGACCTCCAGAACAAGAACTTAATACACTGTGCTGTTCTGGGGTGCCTGGGTGGCTCAGTCGGTTAAGTATCTGACTCTTGATTTCAGCTCAGGTCATGATCTCACAGTTCAAGCCCTGTGTTGTGACAGTGCAGAGCCTGCTGGGAGTCTCTCGGTCTCTCTGCCCCTCCCCTGCTCTCTCTCTCTCCATAAATCAATAAATATAAAAAAAAAACAAAACACTGCTGTTTTAAGCCACAAGTCTCTATTATTTTGTTTTGCCAGCAACAGGTAATTGATACATGCTTTGTTGTTTTAACCAGCTATCCAGTACGAGGCTGCATGTGTGTGAAGACGACATCACGTCTTGACCCAGAATGCGTGCTTTTCACCCCCACGGAGACCACACAGAAATGCGACATGGCCACGTTGCTGTTCAATGCCAGTGACGCAGCGATGTCCCGCATATTGGAAAACGGCAGAGGAACAGCATCAGAGCTCAGAGATCAAGGAAAACTCAACCAGTGCATGAGCAGGGAGGGTACAGCTTCTCCACATCAGCACTTCCCACCTTCACAGAGTCCTCACCTTTATAGATTCCGTTACTTCCTCCATGAACTTCTCCTTTAGGGGTCACCTCTTCCACGTGTGCTCCTTGGTCCGAACTGAAGTAGATGAGGGTGTTATTAGCCAGTTTCAGCTCATCTAGGACCTTCAAGATCTGCCCTGAAGGGGAGAGATAGCCAACGTTAACACCGTTCAATCTCTACAAAAGGAAAGGAGATTGCTTGCTCTCACCGACTTTTCTTAAGATGGGAAGGAAATGTCCTCGGACATCACAGCTTTCCCACGCTGATCCCAAACGGGGATGCGACATAATCAGAAAGTCTAACTGTGGCAGGGTTCTTGGAAGCTACAGTCATTGAACCAAGTGTCATCCAAAAACATCATCTGAGGGGCGCCTGAGTGGCGCAGTCGGTTAAGCGTCCGACTTCAGCCAGGTCACGATCTCGCGGTCCGTGAGTTCGAGCCCCGCGTCGGGCTCTGGGCTGATGGCTCAGAGCCTGGAGCCTGTTTCCGATTCTGTGTCTCCTTCTCTCTCTGCCCCTCCCCCGTTCATGCTCTGTCTCTCTCTGTCCCAAAAATAAATAAACGTTGAAAAAAAAAATTAAAAAAAAAACAAACATCATCTGAAACCCTAGGCATCGTGGACGGATTCTGCAGACTGATACCTGAGAAAGTATTCTGGAAGAATCAGGACCACAGAGCATGAGCCACTTAGAGGAACGTGGCATGGTCCTGAGTAGAAGAAGTCTACCAGTTCCCCTTATTCAATGCAAAACCCCAAACCATCAACGTTCTTCTTACATGAACAAACATGCCTACAAATATTTTATGATGAATGTCTTCTTCTAATACTTACAGTACATACAAATATAGAACTATCTGTATTTTATTTAGACCACACAGAACCTTAATGACTAAACGGTGTAGGTTCCATTTTGCAGATGGGAGCAAGTGGGGCCTCGTCATGGTCACAGAGTTAGGAAGTTAAGAAGCCACAAAGTAAGCGTGAAATCTGATTCCAAAGGGCAGAGTCTCAAACCTTACATAGCTACACGGATGGACTCCATGGGAACCACAGAGGAGCGAAAAAGACATCAAGGGAAAAGAAACAGAGACGCCAACTGAAATACTCATGGACGAGAGGGTATGACAGCCACTTGTTTTCTTTCATGCAGGAAGAAGGGAAGGCAGGATGGGGTACAGATTAAACAAGATGCAGCACGAGTTCATGGTTGTTACAGGTGCGTCAGGGGCACGTGAAAGTTCACTTCACTTTTCTGTCTGCTTCTATTTATGCCTAAATTTTCCATAAGGAAAAAAAAAAGGAGCTGGCTGAAGGCAGAAGGGGCTAAAGTATGGGCTGCCTGTTGAGGAAGCTGTTGCCAGCTCTCAAATCAGAAGAACATGACGGTGAAAGTAAGGAATACACTTTGCGATCTCCACAGAGACCCATATATGCTATGCTACCAGTTAAATTTAGTAAGTTAATGCGTGCAGTTATATTCTGATTGAGGTACTAGGGTGTGACCCCACTTTTGATGTTTGACTGCTAAGAGCTCTTAAAGCCTCACTGCTCCTCATTCTTTTTTTTTTTTTTTTTTTTTTTTTTTTTTTTTTTTTTTTATTTTTGGGACAGAGAGAGACAGAGCATGAACGGGCGAGGGGCAGAGAAAGAGGGAGACACAGAATCGGAAACAGGCTCCAGGCTCCGAGCCATCAGCCCAGAGCCTGACGCGGGGCTCGAACTCACGGACCGCGAGATCGTGACCTGGCTGAAGTCGGACGCTTAACCGACTGCGCCACCCAGGCGCCCCTCCTCATTCTACATATGCCCAGCCAGCTAATAAGAGAGCCAGGGTGCTGCGCCCTGCTGTACTCATGGGAGAACCAGGCTACGCCAGCCCCCGCCTGCACGCCGAAGCCAATCCCTGCCTCCTCCCCCATCACTCTCAAGCTATTTTCGGACCAGCTCGGGACCTACCTTGCTTGCCGCAGAAACCCTCATTATGTGAGTAATAAACCTTTTCAGAATTTTACAAGGACACCAAGTGTCTCCTGCAGCTATAATAACTGGGTAAGGGCACATTGTACCCAGCACATAGGTCAAGCCCCAGTGGGGACGGGCCCCCCACTTTGGGGCCACACCTCCACCCATGTGGTTCAGAAAGGGTTGGGAAGGATCGCACCGTCAACTCTCCGTGGAGGTGCACAGATGATTTCTGAGCCAAAAGCAAAACCCAAGTCATTTGTTACATGTGTCTCCCATTTGATTGTAAATGCTACGGGCTACAGTATGTTCAATCTTTCTCAAATTTTTTAACTCCTATCATAAACATTCTAAGAAGCCACACCGTATACATAAATGTCATACTCAGAACCAAGGAGTAAGATCCACAAGGGCCATTTCAGATCTGTCTCCCATGATACATCATTATCAGGCAGACACGGGTTGTGCTGTTATCGGGTACAGCAAGGCAAATCACCTGTGTGCGTGGGGAGGTTTGGCTCCAACTCTAATTTAAGCTGTATCATAATTAACTTAATGAGTTGAAACAGGGAGAAGGAATAAGACAATATAACCTCCACTATGTTTTCAAGGGAAAATGCCCCTTTTGGCTCCTATGACAATTTCTTTTAAATCTGTTTTTATTTATTTTGAGCGAGAGATAGAGAGCAAGTGCGAGCACTTGCTCTCTATCTCTCGCTCAAAATAAATAAAAGGGGGAGGGGGGGAGAGGGGGAGGGGGGGAGGGGGG